GCCTCCACGACACACTGCCACCTCCACACCGTCCCCTTCGCTGCCGCCTCCACGACACACTCCCTCCCCCACACCGTCCCCTTCGCTGCCGCCTCCACGACAAACTCCCACCCCACACCGTCCCCTTCGCTGCCGCCTCCACGACACACTCACTCCCACCCCCACACCGTCTCCTTGGCTGCCGCCTCCACGACATACTCCCTCCCGCCCCCACACCGTCCCCTTCGCTGCCGCCTACACGACACACTCACTCCCGCCCCCACACCGTCTCCTTGGCTGCCGCCTCCACGACATACTCCCTCCCGCCCCCACACCGTCCCCTTCGCTGCCGCCTCCAGGACACACTCACTCCCACCCCCACACCGTCTCCTTGGCTGCCGCCTCCACGACATACTCCCTCCAGCCCCCACACCGTCTCCTTGGCTGCCGCCTCCACGACACACTCCCTCCCGCCTCCACACCTTTGCTTGTGCTGTTCTTTTCACTTATTCAGAATGCAACAGCGAAAGGGACTGGCAAGTCACTAGGAAAAAAATCCATAAAAAACTGACGGTGAGAAAAGAGGTTTAGAAGTATAGAAATAGTATTACTGTCTTTTATCTTTTAACCCTTCCAGCACTTGGCATAGCTCTATAGTTGTTATTTTTTTGTTGTTTTCATTTTAAGTACATTAAAGACAGTTTGGAAAGTATAGATGTAAAAAAGGAAGATAAAAACTATCCGTAATGCTCCTGTCACAGCAAAATCACTGTATTTCTATTTTGGTAGTGTTTCCTAAGTCTTATCCCCATAAGTATGGGGATTTATATGTGTATTTATATATAAATTTATATATTTATATATGTATCATGCTATGCTTACACATGATATAAACTTCTGTATCCTGCTTTGTTCACTGACATCATGACACACATTTTCCATGCCAATACATGGTATTTACAAGCACCATTTCCAACAGCTGCACAATCTCATCAAGTAGATCTAACATACATAATTAATCATTCCCAGATTATCTGACATTTACATTAGTTCTCATTTTCCTATTACATATAAAATATGGGAACATCTTTACACTCAGAGCTTTTTTCTACATATAGGGATTATTCCTGAGGCTAGATCCCCAGAAATGAAATACCAGGTTGAAGGGTATAAACATTTTTAAGCTCTTGATAACTATTCTTTGAGGATAGTTCTTTTCTATTTACCAAGACCTGCCTGACCCTAGTATACTCCCATGAAGAAGTAACAAGCAAATAGCTCATGGGACCCTACAGTTTATATATTATACTCCTCGTTTCCACAGTGGACAGTGACAAGGGTTTGAGGTAAGAATAAGACTAACGATGACTGAAATTAATGCCCAAGCCAGAGGCTAGCCCTAGTTTTACTGTACCTAAAATATCACTTCCCAATTTGGTTCATCTTTGGGATTCCTTAAAAGACCATTTCTAGATCACTATTTCATTTGATGCATCTATTCTCCAACAAAAAGCTCCAATCTAATCCTGGAAACAAGAGATAAAAATGACAGATGAGGAAAATGAAGAAAGCATTGCTTCATATGAGCCAATATAAGTACAATTTGGGAGGCATGAACTACAAGATAGGGAAGGACATAGGAACCCCTGGAACAACCTGTCTTTTAGGTTCTTTTGACTCCAAGTTGTTTCACTCTTTGGGAACTGCTTAGTCCATAACTGGAAAAATGAATAAAAACTTACAGGGTGGAGCTTTTGGACTTTCTTGTGGTTTGGCACAATATCCGTTTATTCTCTTCAAATCGGAGTTTCTGCTAAGTCTTAGAGATGAGAAAGCACCTCTTTCATATAACCTAAAATAACTTCCTAGAAAAGACAGAAAAATGTTTCAGAGAAAGAAAATCTAATGTTGTCTCAAAATAAAAAATGTCTACAGAGTATATATTTCATTGATAAAAATTAACTCATTTAAAGGGAATATACTTACTCTATGTAAAACACACGTATTTAAAATATGATACTTGGTCCTATTTTAAAATATACATGTTAAAGTTAGAAATTTATACTATAGGGGCGCCTGGGTGGCTCAGTCGTTAAGTGTCTGCCTTTGGCTCAGGTCATGATCCTGGAGTCCGGGATCAGGTCCCACATCGGGCTCCCTGCTCGGCGGGGAGTCTGTTTCTCCCTCTCCTACTCCCCCTGCTTGTGTTCCCTCTCTCACTGTCTCTCTGTCAAATAAATATTCAAAAGAAAAAAATTTATACTATAAACATTTTATCAGCTGTAAGTTTTATAAAAGTACTTCTCACATGTATCTTGTCATAACAATGGTTCTGGTGGAAATATTACATATTATAGCACTGGGCAGTTTAGGTAAAGATTAGAACCTCTCACAAGTGATAAACCAGGATGCCAAGTTGTCAGTACTACTCTGGTAAACTCTGGGTAGGCTGCAATGGCCAGCAAAGGGCTCAAGAAAGCCTTCTTCCACCCAAGCCATAATTCTCCAACTGGAAATCAAATTTAGATGTAGTCATGAATTGTGTAAAATTTTTAAATTGTATATTAAAAAATGTATAAAACTATATTATATATATAATTTTTAAAATCCAAATTCTAAGTACACATAGGGATCAGTATTTTAAATCTCCATTGTACTCACCACCCAGTGTCAACAATTAAGCCAATAAATATGGTTTCATCTGAACACCCCCCCAACTCCCTGAATTTTTTTTATTTTTAAAAGATTTAATTTATTTATTTTTGAGAGAGACAGAGAAAGTGAGAGAGTCGGGAAGGGGGAAGAGGGAGAGGAAGAGAGAATCTTCAAGTAGACTCTGTGCTGAGCGCACAGCCCAACATAGGACTCAATCTCACAACCCTGAGAGCATGACCTGAGCCAAAATCAAGAGGTGGATGCTCAACTGACTGAACCACCCAGGTGACCTCCTACTCAATTAAAGCAAATCCCAAACATCCTATTTAGTTCATCTATAAATACTTCAGTATGCATTTCAAAACAGCAACTCTTCAAAATCATTATCCAGAATACCATTAGCTGAATTAAAAAATATTATATCCTTGATATTAGCATATTATGATCAAATAAATTTCCCCAATGGGCTTATAATTTCTTTAATAGTTGGTTTATTCTAAATAGGGGCACACTGAATATGGTTGATGTGTCCTGTAGAGATCTCCCCCTCCTTTCTTGTTATTTGTTGAAGAAGCTAGGTCATTAGTTCTACGTAATTTCCCTCATTTGGGATTTTGGGGATGGTATCCCTTGGTGTTGTTTAACATACTCTTCTAAATTCTTTTTCTTATAAACAGATTTTTGAGGCTTCATCAGATTTAGGTTAGAATTTTTAGCAAGAATATGCCACAGGTGGTACTGTGTACTTCCTACTGTATCCTACTATACTGATCCTACTGTATCAGTCTGACTCATACCTTATAAAGACCTCCATCAACCTTTCATTTAATGTTTTTAGCAAACATTGATGATGTTACCTAGATCTATTATTTCAATATGGATTGTAAAATGGTCTTATTCTACATTAACTATTTGATTATCCTAAGGTAAAAGTCCACAAGAAATGTGGAATAAATGCTTGGTTCTTTCCATTTGCCAGTTTTCAAATTAATGGATTGCTTTCCTTGCAGCCTCCACAGGTGATCTTTTGTTTAAAATAACACGGGGCGGGGACACCTGGGTGGCTCAGTTGGTTGAGGGTCCAACTCTTGGTTATGGCTCAGGTCATGATCTCATGGGTTGAGCCCCATGTCCGACTCCATGCTCAGCAGATGGTCTGCTTAAAGATTCTCTCCTTTTGCCCCTCCCCCCCCATATACATTCGCACTTTCTCTCAGATAAGTGGATCTTTTTAAAAAATAAATAAAAATAACATAAAGAACTCTTGCATTTTAACACATGTACCCCAGCCCATTTCAGTCATTTTTCTTTTTGATACTCAGTCTCATTTTTAGTCATTAGGGACCCTTCTATGTTGGCTCCTGAGTCCTTTCAACATGTGCTCAGTGATCATTGATAGCTTCCTTACTTTCTGACATGATATTACAGATTCATTTTGAATGTTTTCTGCCCCTGATTTGGAATCAGACATTCCTTTAGTGTGCTCTGGTCCCTTTAAAGAAGTATTTTTAGAGATGCCTTAGGAAGACTCATTTTTACTGAGTTTGTCATTGTTTCCATGCCTTCTCAGTGAACAAAACTAGGAAATGCATTCATTCTTAAAATAAATGTATGCTTAAGAACTTAGTTCCAGGGGGGCGCCTAGGGGGGTGCAGTCGGTTAAGCGTCCAACTCTTGGTTTCGTCTCAGGGTTGTGAGACTGAGCCCTGCTTGCATTGGGCTCTTCACTCAGCTTGGAGTCGGCTTGAGATTCTCTCTTCCTCTCTCTCTGCCCCTCCTGCTCATGCTCTCTAAAATAAAAATAAATGTTTAAAAAAAAACTTAGTTTGTTAGCCACTTTCACCTTCAGCCTTAGCATGAAAATTTTGTATCAGTCATAATTAATCAGAATTCAAAGCAGAGACAGCCAGAAATAGTTTTGATGAGGGTAAGAGGAAAGGGGGGGGTGATTCTGAGTATGGGAGTCATGGTACAAGAGAGAGACCAAGGCTGGTATAGGATTCAGAATCAGACGCGCCCTACAGTCCTAGAACATGGAAAAAGGGGAGTGCTATGAAGTACAATGGAACAGAAAAGCAAGCTGGAAAGGTACCAGTGATAAATCTGATTAGTGTCCTGGCACTGCCTAATGCTCTGTGTAACCAAAAAAGGAATGCCCAAGACTTGCCTTTTAATGCAACAAGAATGTGCTCTCACAGCTATGTGGATAAAAAAGCTCACAGGAAAGTTCAAGTAGTTTTTAAAATCTCTGTTAGTAGACAAATAGTCTGTACCTTTGCAGTTCCAAAGTCCAACATGAATATCTTTGTAGCTTCAGAGTTGGAGCAATAAGGGGAGGCAAAAGATAATAGGAGTAAAATATAGTTAGAGGTGGACTTCCCAAAGCTGGTGAGAAACATGATTTCTTCACTTTTTTCTCTTGCTGTTAAAAAAATTTAAATGTAACAATTTAAAAGATACTACTGTAGACTTTATTTTTTTTTTTTAAGATTTTATTTATTTGACACAGAGAGAGAGACTGAGAGAGGGAACACAAGCAGGGGGAGTGGGAGAGGGAGAAGCAGGCTTCCCGCTGAGCAGGGAGCTGGACGCAGGGCTCAATCCCAGGACCCTGGGATCATGACCTGAGCCGAAGGCAGACCCTTAACGACTGAGCCACCCAGGCGCCCCCTACTATAGACTTTATATGGGCATATGTTTATATTTGTGTAAAATTTTTAAAATAACACTTATTGATACATATATAACTCCATATCATAAAATTTTTTTTTTCAAAAGAGATTTATTTATTTTGGGGGGAGGGAAGGACAGAGAGGCAGAGAGAGAATCTAAAGCAGACTCCCCCTGACCCTAAGATCATGACGCAAGCCAAAAACAAGAGTTGGACGCTTAACTGACTCAACCACCCAGGCGCCCCAAATTCATCCTTTTAGAGTGTAATTCGTGGTTTTTAGCTTATTCACAAAGTTGTGTACTGACCACTACCATCTAATTCCAAAAGATTTTCACCATCCCAGAAATGTTTCAAATTTTGATGAAGTCCAGCTTATCCATTTTTTTTTCTTTTGTTGCTTGAGCTTTTGGTGTCATATACAAGGTCACAAAAGCTTCTATGTTATCTTCTAAGAATGTGATTGTTTTAGTTTTAACATTCAGTTCTGATCGATTTTGAGCTAATATTGGTATATTATGTGTGGAAAGGATCCACCTCCATTCTTCTGCAGGTGGATATCCAGTTTTCCTAGCACCTTTGGTTGAAAAAATTCTTCCCCCTGTTGAATTGTTTTGGCACAATATAGAAAATCAATTGACCATAAATGTGAGGGTTTATTTCTGGACTCTCAATTCTATTCCATTAATCTATAGTCCCTTGTATTCTATGTTGTATTAGCTTAGTGGTTACCTAACCATTGGACAGGGACGTCCTTCGATGCTTTCCACCAGCGAGTTTGCCAGCCTTTGCCAAAGAGCTTCATGTGCCTGTTGCAGCACGCTCTGGAGTGGGTCGGGAGAAGCTGTTCCCAGAGAATTAGCTGAGTCAGGTGAAAACCAGGCAAGCCCGGTGAGTGGGAGTTTCCAGGGAAGTGCCAGACAAGCTAATTGTAACAATTCTTGGGGGCTGGGGATTTTAGGGAGCTCCAAATCCATTCTCTTCAGTGCCTGCTAAAACTGCAGGTTTTCATTGAGAGGCTATTCATTTTCAAGGCTACTGTGAAGCTGACAGGAGATAGAAAACTGTTAAAGCTATTATAAAGCTTGCTGTTCTTACCATGTTTAAGTCATTTTTCTTGGATAAATGCTACTCAGATTGTCACAAGCCTCTGGTTATTTACTAGTTCTGAAAAAATTGATTTTAAGAATTTTTCAGTGTTTTCATTGCTTTTTTTTAAAGATTTTACTTATTTGAGTGAGAGAGTGTGGAGGGGGAGGAGCAGAGGGAGAGGGAGAAGCAGACTCTGCAACTGGGCACTGAGGCGATGCAGGGCTTGATCCCACAACCCTGAGATCATGACCTGAGCTGAAATCAAGAGTCGGACGCTTAACCCCCTGAGCCACCTAGGTGCCCCTCATTGCTTTTATACAGGAGTGGATTTTCAGAGATCCTCTTACATACCAGAAATTGGAACCTGTTTATATAAAGATTATGGTTATTTGCCCTCTGATTTCTTTCATAAGGGGCCACATTTATTTCATTTTCTAAGTCTGTAAT